AGTGTATAGATAATGGATGGATGGATGTTTGTGTGGGAGGAAGCCGGAGAACCCGGAGAGAACCCATGCTGCATGGGGAGAACTCCACACAGAAAAGATCCCGGGTGTCCTCAACCGGCGACCTTCTTACTGAGAGGCAACAGTGCTAACCACAGAGCCACCTTGCGGCCCTTCACATAACACAACATATCAATATAAATCATCATATTTGTTTTCAAATCAATTCATACCACCTCAGAACCACTGGATTACAATTTTAGTAGTAACATCTTAAATATTATTATTATTGTTAATAATAATAGCAATAATACTACTAATAATAACAATAATGGTAATAATAAGAATAACGGCAACAGTAATATATGAAAATAATAATAATTTATTGTCATATTTTGTAATAATACTAATAATAGTCAATCATAATCAATAATTCATACAAAATAACAACAACAACAACAATAATAATCTCACTTCTACATACATTATACATTGTACAAATAGTGTGAAGGAAAGAAAGTAATGCGAGATTACCAAAGTTTTTTTTAATTTTTTTTTTCCAATAAATTTCTATTTTATTGATTTACTACTTGTACTCGCACTTACTAGAACCAAAGTAAATAAGGAAACAACATGCAATAGAAGAAAACTACAAGGGCTGCTGTGTTTTGAGTCACTTAACTAATCTAAACTATTCTTAAACTCCATGTAGAACAGTAAACATCACAGCTACATGCTGTTTATACACTGCATCAGTATTAACAGCCTAATGAATTCCTAACCCACTGAATGAGCGTGCTCACTTCGATAGCTTCAGTACATTTGGCTACAAATATATTCTGCCTTGTACTTGTAATGGATTATTTTTTACATTGTTGCCTTTGTATTTTATAGGATATAAATACCTCCAGCACTCACCAGATTAAAATGTCACACACAGGGTTAAGCTTACTTAAAAAATAGAAACCTTTACCTTTGGATTACCTTGGAGAGCAAAGCGACCTAACTGTCGCGCAGTTTGAGCGGACTGCACCTTTTTAATAGTCTTAATCTATGTTGTCAAATTTAATGTAGCTGCAACAACTCTAAACCTGAGTGACAAAAATCTAATATATGCCAAAGTAATTTAGCTCTTTCTGATTTAAAATTAAATGCCTTCTCAAGCTTGATGATTTTTGCAAACACCTGACAACGACTCAGGGATGTTTGGGGCTGAACTGCAGGCTGTGTTCACGCACAGCAGACAGGAGAAGGCAAAGAGAGACCGAGAGCAAAATCAAACAGCTTGATCAATAAAACAGGCTGGAAAATGGGTAGACGGTACAGGGGAGCAAGTTGTCAGCAAGTTGTTGGAAGATACATTCAGCAAATATCTTTCTAGAGCAGAAGTGCACAGTGGTGGGAAAAACACACAGTTTGCAGAGCTTGTAGAAATGTAAGTAAATCTTTGGATTATGTAGGGACGCCATGTTTTGCAGCATTGGTAACCCCTTTTGTTTTAGTCAATCCAGGTTTTATCAATTTATGAAAACAAATAATCAATTGATTTTAATTTTCCATATGATTGATGGCATTAGAGTGTGTCTGCAGTGTAAAGATGTTTCTGAATTCTCAATACAGATGCAGGACTTCAGATCGTAGTGAAAAATGAGTCCAGAGTGGGTAAAAATATGACAAAAAACTGCTTTCTCAGAGGGTTTATATACATCAGTTACGCTGAATTTAAAAAAATGTGATTCTAAAAAGCCTGGTTTAGTTTTTATGAAAGTTCAGAGCACTTGAACACAACATTGACAATGATTCTTGAAGGCATACATCCTTTTTTATATCATAATTCCCACCCCCATAGCTACAGAAATGTTGTATTATTTAACATTCAGAGGTGAACTAAGTCAGTCATGGTGACCACTTGATAGCTAAACCTTCACACACTTCTTGCCAACACAAAGACTGGAGACCACCCCACACATCCACAACGATCAAAGTCTAAACGCAAAACAAACGCTACAACAAGAATCACAAATCCAGCAAATTAATAATTACAGTCTCATGAGTCTTTGAACTCACCGTGGGGAACACTGTCCATGAAATACACATATTATGAAATGAAACAAGTCCACAGGCAAAAAGTACACAAATCAGTGTAGGCAAGTAAAATATAAAATCTAGAACAAATTATAAGTAACTGTACTGTTGAATTTACATAAAAAATATGGTTTATATTTACAGTGCAATTGTTTAAACTGCAAAAATACAAAGTTTAACACCACACAGGCCAAGAAAAGTTGACTTTTTTTGCTTCAAAAAATATTTAATATGGCCCTAATTAAGCAATAGTTGTCTAATTGTTTGTGGTTTTGTGTTTCGAAACAAGAAATCATTCATTTTATTGGATTTAATTTGTCATTTACACTGAGAATTATATGAACCTCAGTGAGTTTTGGTGTTTTCTTATTGATTAAACCCAAAATCCAGTTGATGGTTTGAGAGGAAACACTTCCAGAAAATTGAAATGTATTTCTTTTGTTATTTTAAAATGTTAACATTATCCAGCTCCAAGAAATTAGATTAATCTTGTCTCCTATTCATGCACAAGTCAAAGATTTTCCCTTTCCCTTACCTCCCCTGTTTTCCCTTTACCTCCATTATGCCACTCCTCTCCCATGTCTTTTATCACTTCTGCTGAACAAGCACTGACTTGGTGCCAGAGACTGAACCTCCGGATCTCAAAACCATCACTTGACCTGAAACATTGCCACCACATATGCCTGCAATTCCACCCTGATCTGACTTGCAAAGAGGAACATTTTTAAGGTGCCACCACCTCCAGACAAGGGTGATATATGGAGGGATGTCGAGAGAGGTGGTAACGTTTCCCTGCTTCTTCCCTTCTGGGTTGAAAAAAAAGAAAGGGAGGAAAAGTTAAAAGAGTTTAAAAGACATTGAACTCATTTTTTTTTTAAAGTCTCACTCTGTCTGCTGAGGGCCAGGGATGTCTCCTCGCCCTCATTTGGCAGATAGCTGGTGTCACCCCCTCCGCTCGCTCATTAAGTGGTGTTTGACAGCATTATCTTGATAAATGTTCCACTTACACCACGGGACGGCCTGATGAATCCGACACCGCGCATGGTCAGCCGGTGCGACTGCAGCCCGTGAGGTTGGTAATGATCCATCGACGGGCTAAGAGAGAGGTCTGACAGGTTATTCCAAACGCTATCAATCCAGGGAAATTTAGCAGCGATGCAGGAAATGAACAACTCGGAGAGTAATCAAGAAGGTTTATGCACACATATTAAACAGTAAATGGTTCCCATAGAGTCGGGGACAATCACGAGGTGAGTGTCGTAGTAAAACGACAGAAGTTTCATTATGCAGAGAGAATTATCAACTGTGTTTCATTCAACAGCAAAATAACTTTTATCATATCTGCTGCTTTACCTGAAGTGAAGAAGAGAGAATGATTATCAAGAAAAGGTGAGTTTCTCCTTCTGTTTTACATGATTATCAGTTTACCTGCCATGAAACGACGACTATTCAGTCTGATTCTGTGATGAGATCTTTTGGTTCTTGCTTGCAGTCCCTTAAGAAATGGCATCAAACTGTGAGGTGAAATTACACAGCAGGTCACAAAAGAGACGACAACTCTGGAGAAAAGTTAGAAGCACAACTTAGTGCGTCATAATAGGATCTGAAATTCTCACTTTTTCCTACAGAATTTTAAAAATCAGCATCTTGTGAGTCCTCTAAAGTTACATTTTTAACATTTTTTATTGGAAAACCCTTTGTCCTATATGGACAAGATTAAACAGTTAATTGATTAAAGTAATTTTTGTAGAATTCAGCTGATTAAAAGGGCCATTTTTGAGAATAAGTCATCAACTGTATATTTAGATTATAGCTAATTATAGTTAGAGATATCCATACCATAGTGCAAAATATATACATATAATTTACAGCAAACATATCTGCTTTAATCTGACTTAGTCTGCAATAAAATAATAATTTTAAAAAATCCCAAACTAAGAGTATTTATAATAAAAAGATCAGCGCCATCTCATGATATCACGATGAAAAGATGCATATTTTTAAAAGATTTTAATATTGCAACCAAAGAATCTTGCATAAAACACTGATGAGTAATAGTATAATGGTAATCATAGTAGTGAAATAATATTATAAATCTAAATGTTTAATCATTGCCTTGAACTATGCTATATCTCAGATGAGCGATTTGATTTTTTTTTCATATTTCAGATGTTGTTGGAGGAAGTCTCTGATGCACAAATTCTAAGGTTTTCCTTCTTTCTTTTCTTTTTTTTTGTACATTTTAGTAACTTTTAATAAAATATTATAACATTGCAGCTTTGCTCCAATTCCTCTACTTGTGCTCTGAACAAATAAACCGAACAACAAGTTTTATTTATTCAAACTTTTAGCAGAAAAAAACACATTTACAACTTAGTTAAAGTGAGATATTATATTTCTAGTCATATTTTTTCCCTCCATAAGTGAGCACATGAGAAGGGCCATGTGATGCTTTGAAGAATGCATTCCAGCATAACTAAACATCTACATTTAGCAAACATTACGGGAACCACCAGGAAATAAAGCTCCAATCTTGGGGAACATTTATCTCAGTGACACAAAGAGATGTGATGCTTAACAATAGGACCTTCTAATTATGAGTTTTTTTAGAATAGGTAGAAGTGATGTAATTATCTCTGAGTGTAACTCTTATGATAGAAGCTGTGCATAATAAATCCTCATAAACACCCACTTAGAACAACCACTGAAGCCATCCCAGCAGGCCAATTCCAGCCAAACCTCCCAGTGGTGGAAACTAATAGCATCACTACATAAAACATTGATTGATTCTAAATATGAGCAGAAGTATGCAGTGTTTTTTTTCCCACCTAAAACCACAGGTATTACTCACACATGGGGAGGGGAGGATGTAGAATCAGTGCCCACTTCCAGTTGCAGCAGGCTGCTCCTCTGGTCTCTGTTGGACTTACAGGGAGCTGCATCAAAACACAGTCCTGCAGCCGCCCCCTTGCTATGCTACTACTTCAACCTTTTTTTTTATTTTTAAATCTCTTTAGCGAGGACACGGCCAACATTTTTTTTTTTTTTTTTTTAATCACAAACCTGACCTCGCAAATCCGTCCGCGGCTCCGTAATGTGCTGCGTGCTGCGTGCCACACATACTACTAATCCCTGGATCCTCCCGAGTAGGACCATGATTTCTGGGACGGTGTTGCCAGGGGGAAGGTGGTGCCCGGGACCTGTTGGAAATGACAGCTGAAGAAGGCGGATGGAAGCACGGGGATCACACAAACACTAAACGCAGAAGATAGCGAAGAAAGTCCCTCTCATCACCGGTGTAAAGGGTGTGTGGTGTGTGTGTGTCCGTGGTGCGTTACTTAGCAGCTTTAGCCCCGATAGCTAATCATTCATCCGCGACTCGTAAGCTAACCGAGTGCATGTGTGTTTGTGTGTATGTATCGATTTTTTTAGTGTGTGTGTGTGTTTGTATGCGTGGATGTAGGGCGCTGCGCTCGTCTTCACCCCCTCTCCTCCCTCCTCCTCCCTCCCCGTCTGTCACGTTAGCTAGCATGCTAATTTGATGCAGCTAGTTGGCTAATATTAGCTAATAAAAAGAAATTAGCTGACTCCGGGCGAGGCACCGAGTCGACCCTTGTCGCTGCAAGTCAAACAGCGGGGCGCTAACACAACAGTGTGCCACTCAAGCGAGTCAACCTGATGCCACCAAGGCTAATTTGTGGTCATTTACGAATTAACTAATTAGCCGGTGTTAACTGTCACAAGACAGCAGGCTGGCTAATTTCCTCGGCTATTAGCTTAGCAGCTAGAAGCCGGGACGCTAATTGACCCAGTTCGGTGGGGGGGCAGAGGCCATGTTGGCATTCCACTCGACTGAGTTTTGTTTACATTGCAACTTTTTGGGGCATGTTACACCTCCAGCGAACTATTTTACACACATTTCAACACGCTAAACAAGCAGCCCCTCGTCATGCTATGTATTATTAGCACTGCCATTAACATGTAAGGGCGACATGCTAACCTGTTGACTCCACCGGCTCACCCCGTTGGATACAAGGTAGGATGGAAGTGTCTGTTATGTCAAAGCAAAATATAAGTTTTATGAAGTGGTTTGCAGGTTTATTTTTGAGAAGAAAAGAAGTGTAAATACAGTTTATAGTAGTAGTAGTGAGTACACCCCTGTGCAGTATCACCTACATGTCACTTTACAGTATTTACATTATCACTACAAGTAGGATGCTTGTTTTTATGTCTGATTTAAAAACTAGAATATAGATTTAGCATACTGAAATGCAGGCCCATCGGTAGAAAAACAGCCAGTACACTTTTGATTGCTGCAGCTATTTTATTTTCTCTGTATGTCCACCTTTATTTCTGATGACAGGCCTCCTCACCATGCATGATACCAGCGTTGCACAAACTTGGAGAGATTTCTTCAGAAAACCTTCTTTTTCTCTATAGCCGGTCTTTGCTAGAGGGGTTGATTTGTTCTATGTTTCCTTCTTTTTTTTAAAAAAAAAAAAAACACCCCAAAGATGTTGGATTCAAGTGATGAGACACTCTTGGCCGGGTCGTCGCTTTCACTTTTGCTTTTCTTCTCCAGAAATTCTTTGTGTGATTTTTGGCAGAGTGTTTTGGAATTGGTATCGTGCTGGAATACTCTTCTTCTGCCAAGCTTCTGCATGCTGGGAGTCAACTTGTCAGCCGGTGTTTTGGTGGATCCACAGGCGTTCGCGGTGCCTTCTGTAAATGTCAGCTCCCCGACACCTTTTTCCCGCTCATTTGAGCCACAGAGGTTGAAGTTGTGCACTATCTTTCTCGCTGTGTGAGTTCTTCCACAAACTCTGATTTCCACTGATAACCCCTGTGCCAAGTGTGAAGCTCTTGCCTGTCTGTTTTGTTTCTCAGAGCTGGATCGTGCAAGTAGTGCAGCGTCGGTTTAGGATGGCTGCTCTGATTAGTGATAGTGTGGCTCTTTCCTGCTGCATCTGTGCTTCCTCTGATTTTTTCAAAAATCGCTCACTCCCATTTTCCTGTTTACTTTTCTCTAATTGTGTCACGATCAGACTTTTCTGGCGGTTCTTTTGGAGTCATCATGCGGACTGCAGATAGACACAACCCATCGGCGTAAAAACTGAGAATGTTCTGGTGATCACAGGCCTTTTTATAACCATGTTCACTGGAAATCACACTTGTGCTCTATTTTGTCTTCAGCAATCACAGCTTCTCGATGATCGCTGTGCACATGAGTTTGTTTTTTACTGCACATAAGAGGAAACACTCCACTTGTCAACTTCGAAACAATGCAGTTATTTAGAGGTGATGCAGTTTCTAATAATTTCTGCACATGGTGTAGCATCAGTTTCCCCTTCAACGTCTCATGATCCGCACAAGACTGCTGAAAACAATGCAAGCGTTATACAAAAATGAAAAGCTCAGCAGCACTAAATCAACATCTCAAGATACAGTCTGCTGGAATCCTGAAACCAGATCAAATATAGCGATGCATTTTTTGTTCTGGGGTGCTACAGGAGCCTTCAGAACCAATAGATATTACTGGCACTGTAGCAGCATAATTCATCACTCAGGGGAGCCATTGCCACAGTCGTGACAATAGGGCCGCTGTGTTATTACAACCCAGACCGCAAACCTAAAATCAACTTCTCTTTCCTCTCCCTCGCTCCGCAGGGTTGTAGAGATGGAATCCCTGATGAGCGCGGTGGCTCCGCGCTCCCCAGCCCCCGCCAAGAAGCTATCGGAGGTGGACTTCCGGTCAGGGGCCACCCTGGAGCAGCTGTCGGCACAGGTGTCCGAGCTGGTAGTACTGGAGCAGGGGGAATTTGGAGACCAGACCGCCTTAGAGGTCCACACTGCCAAGGACTTCATTTTCAATATGCTAGGTAAAAAAAACGTCATCTTGTTCATACTGCACAGCACAGTCCTGATTTAAGGACTGTTGGAGGAAGCTTGAGGAGATTTAACAAGTCATATAATGGAAGTGGGGTGGATTATCTCTCAGGACACTTTACACAGACTTCACTTTGCCAGACTTATTGAAATTTAAATCTCTCAAGTTACCAATTGATAAAGAATTTAAAAAATATGTCTGTTTTGAGTATTGGACGGGGAAATATATGCTACAGGATATATCATTTTCCCATCTAATTTCAGCAGAGTGGGATTTTAATGTAACACGAGCCTCGGGGTGGTAATTATTTATTGCCTGGAGTTAAAGTTACTATCAATTAACTATTAATTTCCTTGACAGCGGTTATTAAGCAGGCAGAGCTGCATGTTGGAAAGCCGGATAAACAACTTTATTTAGCTGCTGCCCACACTTTCTTAGCAAGCCAATGGACATTTATCTACGCAGGGTTTTATGACTGACAGTGCGTTGAGCAATTCTTTCCAGGAACACCCTGCTCCACACGCTACGAGACACGTTGTCACCCGAACTCTGCCCAGTACAATCAGAGTCTGATCTGTTGGCATAGCAGGCAAGTGAGCTGCGCTGGCACTACGTTTTTATGCGACACGATGATTAAAGCTGGCGTATTTCTCTATTGCCAGGCTGTTTGTATCAGCTGTAGTAGTTTATATCAGGAGGTACATGTATGGAGTGAGGATGATTGATACACATAGATGCCAAAAAAAAAGATAGAAGCAACAACTAGAAGAAGTGAGCTAACATTTTAAGCTACAGGGCAGTGTGGAAAATATCTCAATCGTCTACAATTGAGCACATCACCTCCTCAAGGATTCTTGCATCTGCTGTCTCCTTCCCTTTTTATTTAGTGTCAATAAACGTGGACACATCGCAGCATTCAGGAGGTCCCTATCTTTGCAAAATTAGCATTGATTTTCTTTCATATTTTGCACAAGAGCAGCCTAAACGCACTCGCAAAAGTTAGAAGAGCAAATGATATATAAAATATTTATACTAAGAAATATCTTTTCATTTTTTACTGATTTCAAAGACACGCTGCTCTCTTCCTCTATCACCTCTGGCTTTTTTGATGCTTTCCCAAGAAACTTAAGGGGGGGTTTTCCTCATGGCAAAAACCTCACTCACGCATATAGTCAGAGTTGTTCAGAAGCTGCAGCCATTTGGAGTCATTTTAGGTTTCATCCCACTCTTGAAGCTTCATTTTGCGAGCTTTTGGAGAGGGCATTTTTAATTTGTCACTTTCTGTTAGTAGTAAAAAATTTAAATGAGGCCAAAGCACGAGATAAATGGGGTGTTTTAATTGGGATGGGACACGGTCCTCCTTTGCAGGCTCATTTTACGACTCAGGTTGGGAGACGGTGCGTGTGACAAAAACAATTAACACCACAGATGCAATCTGCGCTGAAATTATAGACCAGGGAGAGAATCTTTAATTTAATCCTCAGATAGACACATTATCACCAGAGATGTATAATTTGTGACAGTGTGGGTTTAGAACACATTTCACATGCAGATTTGTTTCTAAACGTCATGTTGGAATTGAGGCACATCTGTCACACAGCCAGAACAACTGACCACGGTTTGTTTGTTGTTGTCGGTTGTGAGTACAAAGTGAAGTATGTTTGTTTGCCCAATAGGTGGCACTCTCCCCCCTCCCACTGTCCTCTGTCATCCTCTCATGTCACCCTCAGTCTGTCCCCGCACATTAGAACAAGAGCGTTTTTTTGGCCGAGGCTTGAAACCTTCAGGCGGTTTGTTTTCTCTCTTTCTCAACTTGTGTGTTTTGTTTTGTTTTTTTAAATCCATTTTTACATTGTTGTAAATCCTTGGTTTGGCTCAGCCCTCTCCGTCTGCGTCCCAGAATACCGTAACGCCAAGTTTTAGTATTCCCGTCAAATCAGTGGTATTGCATCGGTTGACAGACAGCTCCTCTAAGTTTCAAGGCTTCTCCTCCTCTGCTTTAGCTGAAATGGCTTCATCAAACAGGCCGCTACACCCAGGGAGAAATCACACAAATCAAAATGGAATCCAAGCCTTCTTCTCTCATTTTTATTGTGCCACCACAATACAGACAGATATTCCTTCTTCTGTGTAAGTTTTTTTTTTCTTCCGTGGCTGTTTTTCTGCCTCCTCCTTTTGCTCGGATTTCATTTTTCATGATTCCGGCGCAGAGCCCTCTGCTTTTCCTCTTTGCTCCCACTCTCTCTTGGTTGAGAACCTCTCAGTAACTTTTGTGAGGCTGCTTTTGCCTGCATAATCACCAATGGTTTGCTGGTATTTTCATACCCTGTGCCTCACCGCCTGCTGTGACAGCTCCAACTGTGGGGAAAGGGAAAAAAAAGAGAGAGAGAAAAGTTTGGCACTTTCAACAGAGGGAGACAGTTTGTGTTGGATTCGAGGAATCTAAAGTTAAGCATGAGGTGGTAGCCATATTAGCAGCTCTATGCCTCTCAAGACCCTGCAGGGGATGAAAGATGGCAACTGAAAAGCAAATATCATCCACGGAGAGGCCTTGTTACAGCGCGCCGGCCTGCTGTTGGAATCTGCTGCATAGGTGTGTGTGTGTGGCTCTGTTGTTTTTTTTTGCCAGGCTTTTATAAAGTCTGAGCTGCTGAAGGATCCCCACTAGGCTTTGCACACTGTCAGGGAAAAAGGGAAGAGAAAAGAGATTAAACTCGCACCCAGTCCACCCAGTGATTTTCCTCACAGCCTGACAGATCCAAGAAGAGGCTCTTATTTACCCCGCGTTCGAGTAAACACCGTGGCTTGCCTTCAGGCGAGTGCGGTGGGGGCCTACTGTATATATCTTTTGAAAAACAAAAGTCTGATGAAGGCAGAGATGCATCCACACCGCCGGTGCAGCAGAAGATCTGGCGCTGAGCTTTCGACGTACCCTCAACCTTAACTTTTTAGATCTTAAAGTTTGTTAGCCAGCTTGAGAGAGTTTAGTTCAGAGTTCAGCTTCCCCCCTCGATGCCGGGTGGAAATAAATCCTTTTGATCCGAGTCATGAGCGTTCTTCTGCCTCAGCCCAGATTTTGACATTTTTATCTGGAAAAACAACCTGTTGCACGTTGCGATGTTGAAGAGCTGCACTACATTTGGGGGAAAAAATAGCCTATAATGAAACACCAAATCTTCGCTTTTTAAACTCCTACAGTGACCTTCACTTCTTGCCTTTCCGTGGGGCACCATTACATCAGCCCCCTTTTGTTTGCAGCTATTTTTCACAGTTAGATCACTTGACTGTGGGCACATTTAGTCTTGAACAGTGATAAGTGGCGGTGGTTAGACGGAGAAGGGTGATCAGCACATGAGCTGGTTTTTCTTCCACGTCAGAGGAAGCGTGAGTCAAACGCTTACCTTGGGCTGTGATGAAAAATGGATGAAACGATAAAAAAAACACTCGAAGCCCAACATTTCTTGACATTGTTGTTCCAGTTGTTGACCTTACAACTAATACGAAGATGCAGTTTTCTCATAGCAATAGCTGGCGTACTTCTAGAACTGCTTCTAGTCCAAAACTCCCTTTTATTTATTTCAATTTCTTACATTCTAAAGCGGGCTGCAAGGTGGCGCAGTTGGTTCGCACTGTTGCCTCGCAGCAAGAAGGTTGCCGTTTCGCGTCCCGGTGGGAGCACCGGAATCTTTCTGTGTGGAGTTTGCATGTTCTCCCCGTGCAGCGTGGGTTCTCTCCGGGTTCCTCCCACACAGTCCAAAAACATGTTGAGGTTAATTGGTGATTCTAAATTGTCTGTAGGTGTGAATGTGAGTGTGCTTGGTTGTCTGTCTCTAAGTGTGGCCCTGTAATAGACTGGTGACCTGTCCAGGGTGTCCCCTGCCTTCACCCTAAGTCAGCTGGGATAGACTCCAGCCCCCCCGCGCCCCTCGTGAGGATTAAGCGGTGGACATTCTAAAGCAGCAGCTACTTATATTTAAGAAGCCGAAACAGCTGGATTTGTTATTTTGATTATCGTTGCTACCTGACTAATAGCATGTCAGTACACTAATCGGCTAATTAGCTAATAAACTACATGTCTGAATGATAAAAGCTCTCAACGTATAAAGACATAAACCAGCACTTCTCATTGTTTTGGAACATTGCAACAATTGCATAATGCAGCCGGAGATATTAAAGCCATAGCTGCCTCGGAATAAGCAGTCTGAACCGTTCTATCTCTCTATTGTCTCATGCTGTTAATTCTTTTATCTTCCAGACCCAGCGGGTAAAAAGGGGCCCGCAGTGATTAAGAAAATGTGCAAACCATTTGACCGTTTTTTCGCTGTAATTACGCAGGAATTACAACAAAAATAATAACGCAAGCTGCTGCAAATGAAAGCGCACAAAATTCTGCCACATTTTCTTATCTTCTCCTCTTTTTTTTTTTCTCCACAGTCGGGCAGCAGCATCAAAACATCCACCAGTCAGTTAGAGTAGAGCATGTGTTTTTTTTCTCTGCAACGCTTTAATATCTGGTTCATTTATGTGGCATTAAATTTCTCCTCCCACACTCCCCGACCTTCCTAAGGCTTCACAAACTTTCACATAATGCATATTTTATTTTGGGAGGGAAAACTAAATCCCTCTTGGTTTCAATTCAACCATCAGAATAGCAGCTTCACCCCCCTCCTGGGAGAGCAGCTCACTGGGCCAGACTCGCCGGATCGATGCGGTGGCTGGCCAGCTCCTCGCTCCAGCCTGTTAACGCTGGTGGGCTTCTGTGTGTGTGTGTGAATCACAGCTGGATGCCGTTTCCGCGCCGACGCTCCGAGTCCAGCTGCAGTTTTTATTGCACGCCGCTCTGTTCTGACTAATTCTCTGCTAATTCCATTTTTTTTTTTTTTTGGGAGCCTGTCCTCGTCTGGCAGCCAGGCGAGGAATCATGGCACTGCAGGCGCAGGAGATGAGTGAAATATTTGTATTTGATTAGTTAGCCTTTGTTTCTGCTCAGTT